GGTGTCGGGACGTGAGGTGGCGGCGGAGCGGCTGTGCCCGTGCACGGGGGAGGGAGAAAAAGTAACAGAACACTGAGGCACGGATCCCATCCGCTTCAAACCCCGCTTCTGAGAACCCGACTGGTGCGACCTTTCCATCGTCATAGAATCGTCTAGGTTGGAAAAGACCTTTAAGATCATCGGATCCAACCATCAGCCTAACACTGCCAAAACCACCACTAAACCGTGTCCCTCAGCACCATATCTGCCCGTCTTTTAAATACCTCTGAGGGTGGTGACCCCACCACTTCACTGGGCAGCCTGTTCCAATGCTTGACAACGCTTTTGGTGAACAAATTTTTCCTAATATCCATCCTAAACCTCCCTTGGTGTAACTCGAGGCTGTTTCCTCTTGTCCCATTGCTTGTTACTTGGGAGAAGAGACTGACCCCCACCGCACTACAACCTCCTTTCCGGTAGCTGTAGGGAGTGATAAGGTCTCCCCTCAGCCTCCTCTTCTCCAGGCTAAACAACCCCAGTTCCCTCAGCTGCTCCTCATAAAACTTGTGCTCCAGACCCCTCACCAGCTTTGTTCCCCTTCTCTGGACACGCTCCAGCACCTCAATGTCCTTCTTGTAGTGAGGGGCACAAAACTGAACACAGTATTTGCGGTAGGGCCTCACCAGTGCTGAGGACAGGGGGATGATCACCTCCCTAGTCCTGCTCACCACACTATCCCGGATACAAGCCAGGATGCTGTTGACCTTCTTGGCCACCGAGGCACGCTGCTGGCTCATGTTGAGCGGGCTGTCCACCAACACCCCCAGGTCCTTTTCTGGTGGGCAGCTTTCCAGCCACTCTTCCCCAGTCCTGTAGCACTGCATGGGGTTGTTGTGACCCAAGTGCAGGACCTGGCACTCGGCCTTGTTGAACCTCATACCATTGGCCTCGGCCCATTGATCCAGCCTGTCCAGATCCCTCTTTAGAGCTGTCCTACCCTCAAGCAGATCAATGCTCCCACCCAACTTGGCATCATCTGCAAACTTACTGAGGGTGCACTCAATCCCCTCGTCCAGGTCGTTGATAAAGATATTAAACAGAACAAAACATCCATCAGTTACTGACTTGGCAGCATACTTTTAATCATCTCAATGTCTTGTTTTTCAGCCCCGAAATCTCTTTATATCCAAAAGCTATATAACTTGATTTGATATTAAGATATTCGGAAGAGATCATGCTTTTTTGTCTGTTTCACATGACTTAAAATGAAAAAGAGCATTTATTAGCTATTTAACTTAAAGGCAATTGGGAAAATGCATACACAAACTCGATAAAGTGTACACTAACCACCAGAAGGGCAAGCGCTTATTTAGTATATATAGTACTAGCACATTTATAATTCAATAAACTATAGCGTTGCTTCTTTTAGGTGTCTGGGAGCCATGTGTGTAACCAGTACACAACATCAGGTTCTTTGCCAGAGGAAAAAAAAGAGTTTCTGCAAAATGGACCAGACTTGCAAGACTTTGTATCTGGAGATTTGTCAGACAAGAGCGCGTGGGCTGAATATAAAGGCAATTTGAAGCGTCAGAAAGGAGAAAGGTAATTGTGATTTTAAACAACTGTAGTTGTTTCCAGGCAGTATCTTGCATGTTTAATATTAACTACAAAATGTCTACAATGTATTTTTATTAAATTCTGTTGTACTGAGTTGCCAATTTCATAATTTTTCAAGAAAAAACAAACACATTATTAACTTCAAATACGTTACAAAACATGAAGACATGGTAGGATTTTCTCATTTGAGTGCCTGTGCCATGGCCTGTATTAAAGTGCAAATACACGTCAGTAGGTGAATGTACCCTACTTTGGCATTGAAAAAATATTACTGACAGAGTAAAACAAATAAATGAAGACTAAATTAAAAAAGCCTTAAAGCCCCCCATATTTCCAGTTATAAATTTGATCAGACTTTGTGATAGCTGCGCAACATATGCTGCCATTAATTGTTGATATCTCCAGTGTGGCACTATTAAATCCCACTGGTACAGTTAACAGCTTTAAACTTTCCAATGACAATAAACTCCTACTCTTGAATGTTGGGATGATGATAAACATGGAAGAGAGAAGTCTGTTATGACTATGAATGATGTCAATATCGGTTGCTGAGTTGCACCAGGTTTCAGGGAACGTTTCCTAGTTCATATCTGTAACAAATTAAAGTGGATCTTTGAAATCAGTGGAAGCTTACCACGCAAATAATTTATTAATCTTTATGTTTGCTTGATGTTATTCAGGCTGCGACTTCCTCCGTGGCTGAAAACAAAGATTCCCATGGGAAAGAACTACAATAAACTAAAGAATACCTTGAGAAGTTTAAACCTTCATACGGTAAATCTACTACCAACCAAGTTTTGCTGTAGAAATAAGGCATTTTTTACAGATACAAAGTTACTTCTCTGTGGAGGACAGGTAGAAATGATGTCTTGCATGATCCTCAACCCTGAAACCAAGCCCAATTCTGATCCTTGTTGCCAGTGGTGAATTTTACATGTAAAGAATGAAGACAAATCCGATAGAGTATTTAATGTTTTTCCTGCTGTGATTTTAAATACTGGGGTTTACCACTTGCATCACCAAAGAGATAAGAAGATGCTATATGTGTCTGCTTTTAATATAAACACACAATTTCAGAGTTATATATGTGTTTTGCATGAAAAGAAGTTCTAGAAATATGTGTATTTCATTAAATATACCCTACAGATGGTAAAAAAAATGGTGGGTATGCATGGACAGCTTTTTTCCTTTTTTTAGAGTAAGATCATGCCTTGATGAATCATAAACTTTGTCAACATTTATCAGTTTTTAAACTTAAAATGTTAATGACAATCTCTGCTAATTAATAAGGCTGTTACGTGGTTGAGGAGTTTTTGGAGTTGTAAAGTAGAGGAAAAGAAGGGTAATGGATGTCAGGAAACAATTATTCTTTTCCTAGCTATTCTACTGACTTCTTATAGAACAACATGTAACTCTTAATTGCCTCATTGATCACAGAAGGAATTATGTTTTGTTTGTAGGCTACTGTTGAAATTGTTTCTTAACATAATAATATTTTTCTATAATAATATAGGAAAAAAGACAGGTACATTACTGTCTTTTACCTTTAGGTTTGTGAAGAAGCACGTTGTCCCAACATTGGAGAATGCTGGGGAGGTGGCGAATATGCTACAGCTACAGCTACTATTATGGTAAGCCGTTAATCGTTTCCGAAGTACTTTAATAACGCTTGAGCTTTGTAGTGTATTGTTGGGTCTCTGCAGTAGTGGTATGGGTTTATTACAAGAAATTTAGAATAAATTGCTGTCCTCGTTGTTTTGCTTAGCATTGGGATTTCTCTGATCTAGCTTCCGCAGCTGTTTCTCAATGTAAAGGTAGGAACATCTGTCTTGTTTCAGCTGATGGGTGACACGTGCACTAGAGGTTGCAGATTTTGTTCGGTCAAGACAGCAAAAAATCCGCCTCCACTGGATCCCGAGGAGCCTTACAACACAGCAAAGGCTATAGCTGAGTGGGGCTTGGATTATGTTGTGTTGACGTCTGTGGACAGAGACGGTTAGTACGTTGTCTCTCATCTTCTTCAGTCTAAGCTCTCACATGCCTTAGATGGAGTAAACGCAGACCTTGATAAACATTTGTCACTCAGTGCAATTGTTGAGGATTACTATGTTAAAGGAGTCAACAGTGCTGAAACTTTGGAAAGTTTCTACGTATTCTTAGTATTTCTCTGTGTCTGGTGAAATGTTACAGAAGTTACACTGTTACTAAACATTAAAATATTACAATACTTTACTAAATATTTTAACTTTTTTTTTTTCCAAAATACATACATATACACTGTGTTCTATTATTTGATCAGCAAAAAAACCCCTACAAACATTCATATTCCACACCATTACAGAACTTCCTTCCAAAAACTAAACCTGGAATAAATTATACTTAACAAAACTGAAAGTTTCCTTTTTCTAAGGTTGTAGTAGCTGCTTAATGGTGACATCACATAGGTGGGGAAAACCATTGTAAAGACTGTTCAGGTGGAAAGTCCAGTAGCTTCAAAGTGGCTTACAATAAAAGAGCAATTATATATATATATTTTTTAGCAATTATGTATATATTTTTCAATTTTTGCAGAACTGTTTCTCAGATCAAAACCATAAATAGATAAAGCCATTCTGTGCTCAGGCTGACAGTGAACCTAGAGACAGGTAAATTTGGAATAAACATTTGAAGTCTGCCCTAAACAATCAAGTTAGATTTTGTGCAGGATAGGGCTTGGTAGAATATCTGTTGTAAATCTTTGGCATAAATGGTGAGATAAGACTGGGGTTTGACAAAGAACTGCTTTATTAGTTTGCATTTAAATTTGACTCTGCAGTTTTTTTGTGGCTTTGCTAATAAGTAAATACATTTCTTGAACAGAAAGGTTAACTGAATAATTGAAATGCTTCTAGATATGCCTGATGGTGGAGCAGAACACTTCGCAAAGACAGTCTCTCATCTGAAAGAAAGGTATATTTTTAATGTATTACTATTGTTATTACAACATATACGTCAAAACTGCCTTTAACTGCATTATTCCGGGGGCCATGCAAATACAAAAATCTGCCTTTAGCCTATCTACGTCCCTTTTTTTTTCCTCCTGTTCTTCATGTTTCTCATATGATGTCCCCAAAGTATTTTGAATTTGGATACATTTCACATTTAACCCAGGCTTATTTAAAGCTAAGCACTGGGTTATTTCTTTTACCACGTGGCTGGTTTACCAGGAAATGAATACATACTTTTGAGGTATGTTTATTCTTGAAGCCTGGGGGCTCAGACACGGTGGATTTAGATAACGGTGTCACCACGTGACAGAAGAAGTCGGGTGGCAGTGAAAAATCAGATTGCTTTTTGCGTTTTCCCACGACGGCTGTCTCTTGTGGTTGTACCGCCCTGCTTTCCCTGGCTGTGCCGCCTGCACTCTCTGCGTCGGCGCCCTCGACGCCATTTGATAGCAGACTTGTCTGCCTGCGGGTTTAATTCATACAGCCTCGTCGGAGTCTTTATCCAGTGGGACTCGGAAGGCTACTGCAGTTTTTCCCACCTGCCTTTTCTGAGCTGAAATCAGGATACCGGACACCAAGATTACGTTTCAGGGTAATAGCGCAGAGTCTTCTTATCTCTGTAGGCAGGATCATAGCTCCTCTGCTATTTTGGAGCTATGATATTAGACTTAGCCTGCAACAGAGACGTGAAAAATCACGTATAGACAGGGAATGTGATTGTTTAACAGACCCTTGGAATGGCTTTTATATTATTTGGCTTTCATTCCATTCCAGCGCACATCAGTGAAATCAGGAATCACACACGTGATGTTTTGTTTGAATTGTAATACAAGTATTTGCAGAAATCTGTTGTTTTAGAAGCGTGTCCTGAATTAACTCCGCCTTGCTTATCAGAGCGTCATTTATTTAGTAATGTTTTTTTTGTTATATTGATTTTATTTATTTCTTTGTTTATTTTAGCAACGGTGACACCAACCCCCTAGCCGCGTTCATTTTCGGTCTCTCCGTTTCAGGAACCCGAAGATCTTGGTGGAATGCCTCACCCCCGATTTCCGAGGGGACCTGGCGGCCGTGGAGAAGGTGGCGCGGTCGGGCCTGGACGTGTACGCCCACAACCTGGAGACGGTGCCCGCGTTACAGCGGTGAGCGGCGGGCGGCACCGAGGCCTGCTGCCGTGAGGGGCTCCGTGTGA